AAAAAAAAACACCTTTGAAAAGTTTAGAAGAGCCAGAAAGACAATAGGTTAACCTGGAGAGGTCATTTCAGACAGACAAAGCTCTCAAAGCTTTTATGTTCTGAATCTGATCCTTTTATTTTACAACTTCCTAGAAGTAATATTTCACCTTACATTGACATGTCTTCCCTCTAAGAGGTCTTATCAGCATTTGCAAATGTACATATAATAGACCTGCTTCAGTGCAGTTACAGGTTAAAATAATAAATACTGATAATTTTATCAGCTGAGGTAGAAGAGTCTTGCTGCTTCTTCTCTGCCTTCAAAAGGTTAGTTTAGAAGAAAGCCTTCCCAGTATTATTTGAATAATACATGTATGTGTAGAGCTGGAAGACTGAAATTCACTCAGAAAAACAGGAAGAGGTTAAAAAGATTTTTAACCAGATGAAAATAGAGATTTTTTTTCTACCAGAATAATATGTAAACTGGTCCTGAAATGTCAGACTTCATTACAAACCAGCTTTCACTACTTTAAGATGTCCCATCAACTGCTTCCTAAATATTTATTTGGTGAGAAAAAAAAAAAAAAAAACAGCAGAAATATTTTTTATTTTCTTCCTCAAATCCCTCTTCTTGATTTACACAGTTGTCAGCAATACTGAAGAAAAAGTTATACTCACAGAATTACTATAGCTGGAAAAAGCCTTCAACATTGAGTCCAACTATAAGTCCCTCAAACATGCTGCCTGCTAAACCATATCCCCAGGCACCTCATGTACACATTTCTTGAACACATGCAATGACTCCACCAGTTCTCTGGGCAGCCTGTCCCAAGGCTTCACCACTCTTTCCGTACAGAAGTTATTCCTCATGTCTGACCTGGGCCTCAAGAAGGCCAATGGGCTCCTGGCTGCATGAGGAGGATGTTGGCAGCAGGGGCAGGGAGGGGATCCTGCCCCTCTGCTCAGCTCTGGGGAGGCCAAACCTGGAGCACTGGGGACCGCTCTGGGCTCCCCAGGACAAGAGGGACGTGGAGCTTCTCGAGAGGGTCCAGCGGAGAGCGACAAAGATGATTAAGGGACTTGAAAATCTATTTTATGAGGAAAGACTAAGTGAGCTATGCCTTTTTAGTCTGGCAAGAGAAGACTGAGAGCTGATCTGAATAATATGTTGAAGTACCCAAGGGGAGAATGGGGTCAAGCTCTTCTTGGTGGTGGCCAGTGACAGGACGAGAGGAAATGGGTACAARTTGAAACACAGGCAGTTCCATCTGCCTGTGAGGAGGAACTTCTTTCCTGTGAGGGTGCCAGAGCCCTGGCACAGGCTGCCCCGGGACGTTGTGGAGTCTCCTTCTCCGGAGATCTTCCCAACCCGCCTGGATGCCACCCTGTGCTCTGSGTGTCCCTGCTGGAGCAGGGAGGTTGGACTAGATGGTCCCTAGAGGTCCTTGCCAACCTCAACCAGTCTGWGAGTCTGTGATTACTTCACAATATTATTACAGAGAGTTAGTAGTTTTAATCACTTGTTACATTGTAACACTTGTTAAAGTGTTACATTATCTTCACTAAAACACAAGATAATTTTTGCCTTAAATATTTTTTTTTCATTTTCCATATTCAAAAAGGCAATTGCTAAATTCAGACTGACCATCCCCTACGCAGTTTTAGCTACGATTTCAAATATAGAAACTTTTACAATTTTATTCAGCAGAAGTCTCTGCTTTCTGTTCACTATGCTGCAATATACTTCGGGATGAATAATTCTATAGTCAGTACTAACACTGATGTATTTGAGGCCACAGACAAGAGATTATCTCAGCTTACAGAACTCCCTATAAGGGAAGCCTATAGGAAAAGGAAATGACAACCACAGATTTCCAGATACAAGTTTTAACATAAGATTCATTTTACACTTGTAATTTTACTCTACTAACATGCACCCAAGTTGTATAAACCTTTTAAGGGAAGAGGGAGAAAATCTTCAGGATCCAAAATGCCAGAAATACAGAGACAGAACAGTCCAGTCAGTGCTTCACTGAAGCATCTTGCCTTACTTTTAACTGCAAACATAGAAAAAAGTTGCTTAAAAAAAATCAAAACTAATATATTTATCTTAAAAGGTCCTGTACAGTAATGCTGCAAGCTCTTCAGTGTTGATGCTATAACTCTTGACTTAAATCCATTACAAGAGTTGGTACAATTACTCATCCAGTTGAAGAGTTCTGTCCTGAGCAAACAGCGAAACTATTTCATAATCTCAGAGAAATGCCAGCCCTCATCAAGCCCTTCTGCACAATCTAATTTTACAAAGGCTTCATATACTTGTGGATTTGGAAACAGCTCTTTGAGAACTTCCACTGCCACTCCAAAACTACCAAGTACTTCTCTGTGAAAAGCATTTTTCCCGATGAAAACCGTGGTCAGAATGAGTAAATAACAGCAAAAAGCCCTTTTAGATAGAAGCCAACATAGATAGAAGCTGCTGATAAAGCAACGTTAGGACCAGAAGGAATTACAATGGTACACATAGTTGGTACAGATGTGCACATACATATTATGCACCCTGCAGATTTCATGAAGTGGATGCTCATATGAAATAAAATTTTGTTACAGAGAATTGGTTTAGATCATTATTGTACTGATCTATACATAATACATCTCTATAGCATATTGGTTATCCTATCAACTTTTCCTTCTATTCAGTATTTTAATTGACAGAAGCTTGCTTTTCAGAGCAACTGTGACTTTAATACTAAATACCTCCTGCCTTAAGAAGGCATCTTTAACACAATCAGCTGGGATCTAATATGAGCTTTTGAACCTTGTTATTCATTAGCTCACCCACCCAGCTGGTGGGCTGCAATACTTTGCCTCTGTACAAAACGTTGGAAGAATAGGTATTTGTTATGTCCTAACTTCAGTCATTAATACTAAGAAATTATTAAATCTGCTCAAACAAAAGCTAGTAGAAATTAGAAAATTAAGCGTGACTTAAACTGCCCATTCAACTCCAGAAAAAACAAATTCCCTCTGGCACAATATCTTATGCTGACAATATTTCATGAAAAAGATAGTCTCTTCATCAATTGAGATATGCCATTTAAACAAGGCAGGAAGARAGAAAACCAGGAAGGACCTGCTGTGCCAAACAAAGCCTTCCAAACCAAGTGTCACTTGTCCGTACCTCAGCACTGACTTTTAAACATTGCTCAATACCAGCAGAGGGAGTAGTRAACACTCGTTCATAATCAAATTTCTTACCACTCCAAACCAAAACATATTAATAAAGTTACGTTTTTCCACAGTTGAACACAGAATACCATGAAAAGCTAGTTAAAGTCTGTTTATGCCCTTTTAATTCTGTTATCTCATGCACAAATATAGTATTCAATCTTGACCACGCAATCTTTAATTTCTGATGCACAGCAGTGACTTTTTCCTCTATCTTCAGACTCAGGTGGAACAGCTTGTAGTTTTGCTCTTACAATAACACTAATAAACAACTCAAAGTGTATTTTCCTACAATTTAACCTTAACTGCAAGATGGAAAAGAAGTACTTTTTAAAACTAAAGTTACTCTTATACTATATTTCACCATTTAGACTAATAAGAATCTCAAATTGATGTTTTCTAATTTCTTTATTCCAACTTCGTTATACCATGCAAAGGTCCAACTGAGAACAAATATTTTCAGAGCTATCAAAATTCTCTTGTACACAAGCAACTTCACACTTGCATCAAACTTTATCTGAGGGCCTGAGCTTATAGATTTCCCATCACATCACTCTTCCTTTAACCACTGAAGCGCTGAAACTTTGAAAACCTAACAGTATTTTTCTATTACAAAGAACAGTG